TGAATGCTCAAGACTCCTGTAGGAACAACCATGGCGACCTAGTGACCGATGTCCAGAATGTACTCAAAAACATCGAGGGAACACTTTTCAACCCTCTTGAATGGCAGAAGCACTGAAAGAAGTGGAGAAGATGAACCCGAGTCCCCAGTCGATGACGATGGAGTCGATATCCCAGCGCCTGACTATGACGAGGTACGAATAGCGCTTATGCTGATGAAAAGTAACAAATCTGCTTGAGATGACGGCCTTTCAGCTGAGCTATTCAATTACGATGACAAGGAGCTAATAAGGTGCATGCCCGACGACTGGCGACCCCGCCATACGCGCCAACTACCGCGGGATCAGCCTTCTAAGCATAGGTTGCAAGGTCTTATACAATGTATTGTGTGAAAGACTGAATACCACCGTCAATGAACTTATTGGACCTTAACAGTGTGGATTTAGGCCTGGTAAATCCACCATAGATCAGGTATTCATAATACACCAAATCTTGGAGAAGACTCCTCGATTTCAGAGCCGCTTTCGACAGCACTAAAAGGAGTTGATTATACGCCTATATGTCTGAATTTGGCATCCTCTCAAAACTCATACGGCTGTGTAAAATGACGGTGAGCAATACCACCAGCTCTGCCAGAATTGGGAAAGACCTCTCCGATCCGTTCGCCGCCAAACGGTCTTTCAGACAAGGCGACTTCCTTTCAACTGACTTCTTGACTCTGTTGTTGGGGAAGATAATAAGAGCTGCAGAACTGAACCGCTCAGGAACAATTTACTACAAGAGCGTACAATTGCTGGCTTATGCCGATGACACTGACATTATCGGTAAGAAAAACCGCGAAGTCTGTTCTGCCTTTTTCAAGTTGGACAAGGAAGCAAAGCGAATGGGTCTGGTGGTGACCGAGGACAAAACGAAGTATCTCCTGTCATCACACAAACAGTCAGTACATTCGCGCCTTGGCACGCACGTCCCTGTTGACAGTTAAAATTTCGAGAAAGCGGAGAATAATCTTTACTTGGGCACCAGCATTAACACGGATAATAATTCCACCAGCGAAATTCAATGCATAACCACTCTTGCCAACAAGTGCTACTTCGGACTGACTAGGCAATTGAGAAGTAAAGTCCTCTAGCCGTACAAAAATCTTACTCTATATGTCAGTCATCATGCCTGTGCTGGTTTATGGCGCGGACGCATGGACAATCAAAACATCTGATTTGGCGGCTCTTGGACCTTTCTAGAGAAAGATTCTGCAAAAGATTTATGAGCCTTTACGCATTGGCGACGGCAAGTGCCGCATACGATGAAACGTGAGCTGTATGAGCTTTACAATGACATCGACATAGTGCAGCGAATCAAAATACAACGGCTACGCAGGCTTGGTCATGTCGTACGAATGGACGGAAATGCTCCAGCTCTAAAAGTATTTAACGCGGGTCGCGATGGTGGAGGAGGAAGGCCCACTTTGATGGAAGGACCAAGTGGAGAAGGACTTGGTTTCAATTGGCATTTCCAAATGGGTGTCAGTTTGCACAGAAGAGAAATGACTGTTTTGGACTCGGCCAAAATCGCGTAGACGGTTATAGAGCCAAATGAGAAGAAGAAGAAGAAGTTTGTGCGTCCCAGATGCATTTTCTCAAGCGAGGAATGTTCTAGACCCATCAGCAATGTATGTTTTGTCTGGCAAAAGATTCAGTTGGTTATTTTAATGTAACTTGCGGACTTTAGCTTTCACAATTTCGCATTTCACATTTGTGTTTCTCTAGTCTGGCTTCTATATTATTTTATCTTTACTTTTGCTATAATTTTCACTAATTCTGATAACAGTTGATTTGTTTATTTCACTGAAAATAAAATTTCGTAAAAGTGCTACGAAAAACTTTCGTAGTCTTGGTTTTTGTACAATGTACGAAACTTACGGTCATAATACGAACGCATTTTTCACAACGAAACAAGATTTTACGAACCATTCGTAAATATAACGAAAAGCCTTTCGTAAGGATTTTTTTCAGTACAATTTACGAAATCTTACGTTTATTTTACGAAACACATTCTTAAATTACTGAACAAACCTCTGTACGAATAAGTTTGTATATTGTACGAAGGCATTCGTAATATTTACGTGTGGTTTTAAAATATACGAAATCTACAATTCTGTATTCGTATAATTTACTTAAAACTTTCGTACATAGAAAAAATGCAGAAACATGTTTTTTAAATTCGTACAACAGACGAATATTTTCGTACAATATACTAAATTACCGGCAGTTTAATATTTCATCATATTTTTATGTACCGCGTGTCATTGCAAAATTACTGTTTGGCTGCTGTGAGACGTATAATATAATTTTAAACGTTTCAAGAGGGTTTTTCTGGATAAAAATACAAAACAAAATTAAATATTAAAGCTGTGGATAAATGCTCTTAAGCATACAATGTTTTTAACATCGCCCACGCTGAGCCTTGTGCTGCAATGTGGGACTTCATAAGTAGGCAATTTCATCAGTTACCTATCAACGGCAAGCCCAAATCAGGAACAGACACTCCACTTAATGAAATTTTAAGTAAGTACATATAAGATTTTTCACTGAAACCTGCCTTTCAGACGCCTTATAATTTTCCTTTAATTTTTAGTCGTCACGGAAACTAACATCGAAGAAGCTGCGAATCTGCCAAGTACATCCACATAAAAATATTATAATGTTGAAAGAAAGTGAAACCAGTATTTTTTATATCCTTTCATATTTTATATCTTATTGTATTTAATAAGGGTTTTGTTGAGTTTCATAATTTGACACTTTGCATCACTATACTTTATCGAATGAAGGCTAAGCAATAAAAAAATATGTAGTATAGAACCTATTCGTATGCATATAAATAAAAGACTTAAGTTGGATTATAGCTAAAATAACCTTTTTTATTAATTTTAAACTGCAGAGTAGCAGAAAACTTAAGTAAAACTTATTATTTACGACATTTATGCTTTTAATGTCTGCACTTCTTTCGTAGAATGTATGATTGCTTTTATTCTTTACACTATAAAAAACATAGCTCAAATTATAACACAACACTTTCATTATTTTTTAATCATTAATGTTAAACTTTTTTGCATAACATTTTGTTAAAGAAAAGCGCTTAAAATTAAGGATAAAAACAAAATAAAAGTGTGTTAAATTCGTACTGTGTTTTTTACAGTGTGGCGAATGAAAGCAATTGCAAATTCTACGAAACAACCGCAGATTTTAGGAAAATAATTTCGTTAAATATACGAATTATTTTTGTGTATTTTACAAAAATTTCGTAACAAAATAAAGAAATAGGACGAAATTATTTAGCAAATAGTACGAAATTCGTTCGTAAATAGTACGAATGCGTTCGTAAGATGTACTTAAGATCTTATGTCTGATATTTCGTAGTATGTACGAAAACAGTTTGTTTTGTACAATCAACGATAAATTTCGTGGCTCAAAAAGACGAAAATATTCGTAAGATGTACGCAAGTTTTCGTTATATTTACGCAGATTTTATTTTCAGTTTTAAACTCATCACGCACCACTTAAACTGAAATACCACTTTTTGGTTTTTCCAGAGTACTGGTAAATTAAAGAAAGGCAAAAAATTAAAATTTTGTGTGTGTGGCACGCATAAACAAAGAATGATGTAGGCATTGATGCTAATTGTTTTGAAGTTGCATTTATAAAGGTTACAATGTTTTGCTTTAGAGACTTGCATTAATCAAGAAATTGCACTATTGAGGGTTGCGGATGCCGTGTACGCACTGTACATATTTTTCATCAGAAAAACAGAAATGAAGTTACGAGCAATAAGGCTCAACCTATGAGCGAGTTCTTAGACCTTAAGTATAGATTTGAGGGGGTATTCAAAATTCTAAGTATGCATATTTTTTGTGCTTCAGTAGATCTATAACTTTAGCAGTCACAGTGTTATAATCCCAACGAAATCCTTGACGGTGGTACCGGGAGGGGAACGGTACATGACGGTAGGGGTTAGGCTTTCGATGCTTTCGTAAAATAAACATGCGCAGTAAAATATTAACTATTTTAATCGACGAATAGTTTTACATAAACTTTGTGAACTTCTGTTTCTTTGTTTTTGTGCAACATATTTAGCTCTATTGGTTACAATAATTTTAAGCTATAATAAACAATTTTTTAGTAAGTTATTGGTTTGGAAAATTTTTTTTTTTTGTATAGGCGTATAGGTACGAATGGTCACCGTACACATAGCGCCTTTTGCATTGATGGTGTTAATAAGCATATACATACATACATACGTTACAAATAACGTTTAATACAATGTTCAAATAATTCAAAAATCTGTCTTAAATTACGAATCTTTATTAGTATTTTTTGTTTGTTTACACAGATATAAAAATCCTATATAATTTCCTCGAAATTTCAATGACAAGTTTTTTCAGTTCAAACGGATAAAGAAATAAAGAGTACATAAAACAATATTTTAATTACATAAAGAGCAAAAAAAAAACTCAGTTTAAGCTTTTTTATTTTAATCCGGTTTTAGCTACACAAATTATACACTGTGAATATTTTCGAAGTACATTCAAATTCCGTACCTTCAATAGTATGTGCGAGAAATCGTTTATTTTTGTATCGGTAACATAATATGTACAAATCAAGAATTTTTTAGTTACTTCGAGTTGAATGTTTTTCCGCAATAAATAAATTTTCATTGTGCTTATGACCACCTAAAAAATTTAAAAAGTACTGATAATAAGACGCTGAAGTATTTTACATAGAAATAGTTCTGCACTTAAAAAGATCCTAAATGAATTTTTAAAGACGGGGGTTTTGCTATTTGTGCATTACGTATGCATATACATATGTACGTATCTATGTATGTATATATGGATGTGTTGAAATTAAGTAAGACCTGAAGTTCGCAAAATTCTCTCCACGTCTATAACGTAACAAAAAACACAACTTTTCATAGGCATTGTTTTGCGTGTACTTGCATACTGCCAATTTTTGGGCTATATAAAGTGGTCAAGTGCCGCCTTCATGTAATTATAGTCCAGCTGTCCAGTTGTCCAGAGCAAAATTCGTAGCCCTTGAGTGCGTGTTTTTAAAGTGAGTGTTTTTATTTTATATCCGCATAATAAAATTGTAGTTGGAGTTATTTTAATACCAAGTGTGAATATATGTGTGTATGTACATACATGTATTTTCACAGTATTGTTCTCTTCAAAACTAAAGTGGTAGTGTCAATAAGTAGAATAAATTATCAGTCGCGAGCATCTCTACTGGCGATTTTTAAGCCAATATGAAAAATACAGATACGCTTTATTACCAAACAAAAAGTGTTGAAATATTCGAATTTTTTCAATTGAATATCCAGTTAATGCCCATAAATATATACATATTTATGTACGTACATACACATGCATACGAATGTAGGTATATATGTTCGTACTCGTATAAATACGTACATACATATGTACACATGTTATCTATTTAAATATTTCTTCTATACATATATATGCATGCACACGTTTGGAAATGGGTATCTCGCTTACCCATGTGCGCGGAAATTCAAGTGATGATAAATATTATAAAAACTGTCACGTCCGATCTTCGAAAAAAAAAATCATATAAAAATTTATCCAGAAACATATTGGGCCGAGTGCTTGATTGCTGCGGTATAATTACCGGTTACATAAAATGAGTTACATATGTATATATGTATGTATGTATATACATATGAAAAAAGTATGAGCATGCAACATAAAATGTGTTTTAGCACACATACCCAGTAGCAAAATGTAATGTATTGCAATCGATAAAATACATCAGTAAAACAGCCGTTTGCACCAAGGATGCATTGTAACGTCAATTTTAGCGTTTACCAAAAAAAATCAATCAATCAATTATCAAAATAATGCTATTTTGCTTATTAACGAAAAGAAATTCAATCGTTAATGCTGAGGCTGTAGCATACATTTAGATGCTAGGTGTTTATAGTGAGCTGGCAATGGCATACAACAACAACTTTTCGTTGATTTATTTTGTTTCGATGTTAACGATTGATGATTTATGTATTTCGTTTCAACGTTAACGAATGAGTTTTGTTTCGTTAATTCAGCTCTGAAACGAAACAAAATTATTTGGATAATTATTTTTGCGCATCAACAAAACGAAATCGATTCATACCCAGTGGGAACAAGTAATGTATAGTAATCCAAAAAATAATCGGTAAACCAGCCGTTTTCACATACGAAAATGCGTTATTTTTCCCACGTCGATGTCCTAGAAAAAGTGGGGCATTCATTTTTGCATTACCAGTAATGTAAAAATGAATGCGATTTTATATGAAATTTTTGCGACTTTTTGGATACATTAGCATTCTGATTACATATTAAACAGAAATAGAATCTAGAACTCATTAGAAATACATTACATTATTTATCACGCATGTAATGCATTACCACTTTTCCCACTGGGTATAGTTTGTTGAGCATTTGCACATTCGAAAATGCATAATTTTTCCCACGGCGACGTCCTAAGAAAAGTTGGACATTCATTTTTGCATTACCAGTAATGCAATAATGAATGTGATGTAGTATGAAATTTTTGCAACTTTCCGAATACATTCGAATGCTGATTGCATTTTAAACAGTAATAGAATCTCGAACTCATAAGAAATACATTACATTATTTATCATGCATGTAATGCATTACTACTTTTCCCACAGGGTGCGTTTATATATAGTATGTATGTAAATACATACATGCGTAAGTACATACATATGTGCCTGTGAAAAAGATTTTTAGACGAAAACATACATAATTAACTACCACATCATAACTTTTTAATTGTATGGAGCTGTTGCAAAAAGAGGCGGCCGCACTGTACACGTGATAGAAGCGAAACCTCTTAAAAACGCGTGAGTACCAGGGGCTGGATTCTGTAACTGTGAGAAAATATAGTGTACACCGAGTGCAAAACTTACAACCAAAAACTAATCGAATAAAATGCTCTGAGTTTTTCGGAAGAGAAGTGTACACAATTTTTTTATGTGATACTAGCAGACCCGGCGAACTTCTTCCCGCTCAAAATTAATTTTTGGATTCAAACATTTGGTCACCAACAATTCACGTTCACGTTTGGTTTTGTGGAGGATCATTGCCATCTTAGATAACCTAACTCAGGGCTGGCGAACTTAAGTCACGCGTGCAATTGATGGCACACAACAAATTAATTTGGGCACGGTATTAATTGAAGACTCAATTCCTCAATTAAGCTCTACCCAGAATTACAGCGGTCGGCGTTAAGTGAACAGCCGTATAGTTGCCGCAGTGAAATCCGTCGGAGTAAGCACGACGGCTTCCGTCAGTTGTCATTTTGATTTGAAAATTATTATTAAAATTATATACTTTTTCGGTACGTGCATGTAAGTTGATTTCCTGGAAATAAAAATGGATGAAAAAATGTGAAAACTTGTGAATATAATACTACAATCAATACTCAATCACCATTGTGCCGTTCCCGCTGGGCGGTTAGAATATAAATCGAATTAAAACGTCGGCGGTAAAAATGCTGCCGCCGCCATTCCATATGACTTTGAGGTCCCTGAACTAATCACTACAACATTCACCGACTGGTTTCGCACACATGCCCTAATTTAGTGCTTATCTAGTGCCAATTTATGCCACTAAAAAAAATTTAGTGCTCTGCAAATTTTGGTAAAAACATGTGGTAGCCATCTCTTCAGCTGAAGTAAGCACTACACTATCGATATCTCTGGAACCAAAAAGCGCATATATTTACTTTTACCTTACGACATAATTTAGTGCTTATCGAGTGCTAATTTATGCCGCAAAAAAAATTCTCTGCAAATTTTGGTAAAAACATGTGGTAGCCATCTCTTCAGCTGAAGTAAGCACTACACTATCGATATCTCTGGAACCAAAAAGCGCATATATTTACTTTTACCTTACGACATAATTTAGTGCTTATCGAGTGCTAATTTATGCCGCAAAAAAAATTCTCTGCAAATTTTGGTAAAAACATGTGGTAGCCATCTCTACAGCTGAAGTAAGCACTACACTATCAATATCTCTGGAACCAAAAAGCGCATATATTTACTTTTACCTTACGACATAATTTAGTGCTTATCGAGTGCTAATTTATGCCGCAAAAAAAATTCTCTGCAAATTTTGGTAAAAACATGTGGTAGCCATCTCTACAGCTGAAGTAAGCACTACACTATCAATATCTCTGGAACCAAAAAGCGCATATATTTACTTCTATCTTACGGCATAATTTTAACACATTTATTAATACATTTTGCAATAGCACTGCGCAATTAATAAGTTTATTATAACTCATATTGATAGACTAAAAATAAAGTTCAAAGCTACTATAATAAAAAATATAAATAAAAATAGCTAATAACGGGTGATTTTTTTGAGGTTAGGATTTTCATGGATTAGTATTTGACAGATCACGTGGGATTTCAGACATGGTGTCAAAGAGAAAGATGCTCAGTATGCTTTGACATTTCATCATGAATAGACTTACTAACGAGCAACGCTTGCAAATCATTGAATTTTATTACCAAAATCAGTGTTCGGTTCGAAATGTGTTTCGCAAACCCAATTGCTGCGAACGGCGACGAATCGACATTTCACGGTCTTCAGCAACACTCTCAGAAACAGACGCAATATTCTCTTCTGTACGCACTGTACGCATTCGTGTGGTTGGTTTAATGTCCAATAAAGTAAACTGAGTGCGAAACTTGGTCACAATCGCATTAATTGTTTGCTCACTTGGTCGATTATGTAGACCATAAATCGGACGTAAAGCGAACCGAACACTGATTTTGGTAATAAAATTCAATGATTTGCAAGCGTTGCTCGTTAGTAAGTCTATTCATGATGAAATGTCAAAGCATACTGAGCATCTTTCTCTTTGACACCATGTCTGAAATCCCACGTGATCTGTCAAATACTAATGCATGAAAATCCTAACCTCAAAAAAATCACCCGTTATAAAGAATAGAAATTCAAATCCCTTTCGTGTACATATATATTACACCGTGTGACAGTCAATTTTACACACAAAAATCAATATACTCGCGTAACCATGGGCCAAATATAGTAATACCGCGTTTCTAGTTTTTCTCTCTGACGTCCGGATTCTTTTTAAAAGGCCTTCGAAACTTGAAAAATATGATTATTCCGGAAATTGTAATGCAGAAAAACAGTATTTGTACCAAATTAAAGAGAAAGTTCTGTAGAATAAAAACTAGTAAATTTGTTGGTGCCTAAGGACGAAAAGGTATTGAAAATTTCCTTTTAAAATTGTATCCTTGAATATCCTTGAAATTTTGCAGTACTTATTTTTGAACAAATTATATGTTTAAGGCTAATAACTCGACCACACCCTCGAATTTCTTGTTCTCACTTTGTCAGCTCAAAAAAATAAAATTTACCATTCGTCCTTTTAAACCAACAATTTTTTTTTAGTGCTTACTTCAGCTGAATAGATGGCTACCACATGTTTTTACCCAAATTTGCAGAGAAAAATAAATTATTATTATTATGCGCTTTTTGGTTCCAGAGATATTGATAGTGTAGTGCTTACTACAGCTGAAGAGATGGCTACCACATGTTTTTTACCAAAATTTACAGAGCACAAAATTTTTTTTAGCGGCATAAATTGGCACTCGATAAGCACTAAATTATGTCATAAGGTAGAAGTATATGCGCTTTTTGGTTCCAGAGATATTGATTGTGTAGTGCTTACTACAGCTGAAGAGATGGCTACCACATGTTTTTACCAAAATTTACAGAGCACTAATTTTTTTTAGCGGCATAAATTGGCACTCGATAAGCACTAAATTATGTCATAAGGTAGAAGTATATGCGCTTTTTGGTTCCAGAGATATTGATTGTGTAGTGCTTACTACAGCTGAAGAGATGGCTACCACATGTTTTTACCAAAATTTACAGAGCACTCATTTTTTTTTAGCGGCATAAATTGGCACTAGACAAGCACTAAATTATGTCGTAAGGTAGAAGTATATGCGTTTTTTGGTTCCAGAGATATTGATATTGTAGTGCTTACT